AAACAGACCACAGACACTGGACTTTCCCACTTTCACTACAGACAGTGAACTAACCACAGACACTGGACTTTCCCACTTTCACTGCAGACAGTGAACTAACCACAGACACTGGACTTTCCCACTTTCACTGCAGACAGTGAACTAACCACTGACTGGACTTTCCCCTGTTACAGATGTTTGGTTTTGTCAGGCATCAGTTCAGGGTGCAGGTGCATCATGGGTACTGTAGGCGCTTCTCTGGCTCTGATTTTCTTCTTTGAATGGTTTTTGGGGTGAAATGTGGAGCCTGTCGTAGGTTTTGGCGTCGCTCTTGTCCCGGACAGCTCCTGAATGGCTCTCTCTCATTAACAGCCTCCGTGTTGTGATGTGTTCAGGGTCTCCTGCGGCAGGTGGTTGAAGGCTAACGGCCCGGGTGAGGACAGCTGCAGGATAACATTGTGCCGGCGGTGCCTCTGAAGGCTGCCGTGCAGATAAGATTGTGCCAGCAGCTCCGGGGTGTGAGGTGGTCCAGAGAGGGACTCCTGTTTATGAGATAACATTGAGCTCGGCTCCCTTTGCCTCTGGCAGATAAACATGGAGGGTTGGAGAGGCGGGGCCTCGGGAGGGTTTAAGAGCAGAGATAGGACGACGCCGTCAGTCTCTGCCTGTGACCACATTATCTGGAAGCCGTGCTATTCGCTGCCGTACGTCTGCCTTCTGGCCATCCTGGGCCTCGCCACCTCTTCCTGAACAGCATAAAGACAGAAGTGCAAACACCGCTGCTCCCGAGCTCCTCGCTGGTCAGCTGACGGCGCTGAGCGCTCTGAGTCACTCTGGGCTGAGACCAAAGATCTGAGCTCCTCAAACAGAGAGAATAGCATGAAGACAGACGAGCTAGAATGGAGACGCCTCAAAGACAAAGACGCGTCCTTTAAACGCGGAGCCAAATGAAGGAGGCAGACGTGTCAGTGCCAACCAACCATCGCCTCAGAGTCAGGGATGAGACATCGGTGTAAACACTGTACTCGTTCGTATCCATACTTTACACTGTGATGTAGGATTTAATGATACAGACGAGCTGTGTGTGAGGCTGACCTGCTGAGGGGGCGTGGTCTGTGTGAGTAAAGATCTTCTTTGGAGCTTCCTTTTGTTCTGCTCTCTGGGTCAGACTCCGATGGAACCTCTCTGAGTTCAAAGTTCATCAGTTTATCAAAGATCTCCAACAGCACTGAAACCATGGCAGAGCCTCCGCCGTGCCTCACAGGTGGCTGCAGACTCTCACCTGCTCGTACGCACTGACCATGACGTGGATCCATCGCTCCATCAGATCCTTGCCTCCAGCCGTCCTTCACTGACCGTTTCTGATGAGGTTTCAGATGATCAGTTGAAGGTTCAGATCAATCACCTCAGACCTGTGTGCTGAGGAGAGCGTACGTGTTTTAGGAGGGTGAAGTTAAAGATGCAGCGTCGCTTAATGACTGAGTGACATCACCATGTACGCTGAGACTCCGCCTTCTCCACCCGTAGACCCAGCGGGTACTGCTGGAGTTTCACTTTCAGCACTTTCAGGAAGAGCGCCTTTGTTTGCTGTGTTGTGGAATTTGAAATGGATAAAAGAGGAAGTGGAGCTCATTGAAGAAGGCGGAGCTTGTATTTGAGGGAGTTTTTCCTTCGCTGGCTGATTAAACTGAGCTGCTGTTTCTTTAGCGCTTTCTTCCTTTCATCACAGCAGAGGCAGAGACTGCAGTCACAGCGCTGCCTGTTGGAGGCGTTATGAAAGAGCGCGATCGATAAACATTATTAATACTGACTCAGCCGTGCGCAGCTCCTCACCCACATCCTCACCCACCATCCTCACCCTCCATCCTCACCCTCAAAGTCCTGCAGTTAACCCACTGTGGTGTATGTATGCCTCTGTGCCATCACACACACACACAGACACACACACACACACGTTTGTCTTTGCTAAACTCACCTCTGCTCACTCACTGCAAATGAAGGTCACAGTGTGTGTGTGTGTGTGTGTGTGTGTGTGTGTGTGTGTGTGTGTGTGTGTGTGGAATGCTCATTCATATGTTGTGTAATTGTGTCACCTTCAGCAAAAAACCCAGCGAGCGTCAGCAGCTTCCTGTGTGACCTCTGTGTGACCTCTGTGTGACCTCTGTGTCCTTCAGGTCAGGAGCGCATCGGCATCGACTCAAAGTACGAGCAGGAGGGGAAGGTGCAGTTCGTCATCGACGCCGTGTACGCCATGGCCCACGCTCTCCACAACATGCAGCGTGACATGTGCCCCGAGAACTCCGGCATCTGCCCCGAGATGGAGATCGCCGGGGGCAAGAAACTGCTCAAGTACATCCGCAGCGTCAGCTTCAACGGTGAGTGAACCGATGGCCGCGTCCTTCCGCGGCCCATAAAGCTGCTCGCGCCCTGAGCTCGAGGCCAGAGACACGCCGCTGGTTATAAACTGCTCGTAAATTTCTGTTTTTATCCTCGTCGTAAAATCACGTCTCACAGCGACTTGAACCCGAACACGCATTAATGCTGACCGTGCACGCGGGCGGGCGAGAGCGACCCGGACCGCTCATCAAAAAAACAAGTGTCCGTGTTGTTTGTCATGTTTTTCTGATGCTTCAGTAAATTAAACATGTTTTTGTTTGTAGGAGCAAAAAATGAAAAAGGAAAAGATCATCTGCAGTTTTCCTCAGACTGAGCTGACAGCTGCTCGCAGGGGTGTGTGTGTGTGTGTGTGTGTGTGTCTGTGTGTGTGTGTGTGTGTCTGTGTGTGTGTGTCTGTGTGTGTGTGTGTGTGTGTGTGTGTGTGTGTGTGTGTGTGTGTCTGTGTGTGTGTGTGTGTGTGTGTCTGTGTGTGTGTGTGTGTGTTGTGTGTCTGTGTGTGTGTCTGTGTGTGTGTGTCTGTGTGTCTGTGTGTCTGTGTGTGTGTCTGTGTGTGTGTGTGTGGTTGTGTGTCTGTGTGTCTGTGTGTGTGTGTCTGTGTGTGTGTGTTTGTGTGTGTGTCTGTGTGTGTGTGTGTGTGTGTCTGTGTGTGTGTGTCTGTGTGTGTGTGTGTGTCTGTGTGTGTGTGTCTGTGTGTGTGTGTCTGTGTGTCTGTGTGTGTGTGTCTGTGTGTCAGTGTGTGTGTCTGTGTGTCTGTGTGTGTGTGTGTGTGTGTGTGTGTGTGTGTGTGTGTGTGTGTGTGTCTGTGTGTGTCTGTGTGTGTGTGTGTGTGTGTTTGTGTTGTGTGTGCTGTGTGTTGTGTGTCTGTGTGTGTGTGTCTGTGTGTGTGTGTGTGTGTCTCTGTGTGTGTGTGTCTGTGTGTGTGTGTCTGTGTGTGTGTCTGTGTGTGTGTGTGTGTGTGTCTGTGTGTGTGTGTCTGTGTGTGTGTGTGTGTGTGTGTGTGTGTGTGTGTGTGTCTGTGTGTGTGTGTGTCTGTGTGTGTGTGTCTGTGTCTGTGTGTGTGTGTGTGTGTGTCTGTGTGTGTGTGTCTGTGTGTCTGTGTGTGTGTGTGTGTGTGTGTGTGTCTGTGTGTGTGTGTGTGTGTGTGTGTCTGTGTGTCTGTGTGTGTGTCTGTGTGTGTGTGTGTGTGTCTGTGTGTCTGTGTGTGTGTGTGTGTGTGTCTGTGTGTGTGTGTGTGTGTGTGTGTGTGTGTGTGTGCTGTGTGTGTCTGTTGTGTCTGTGTTGTGTGTGTGTGGTGTGTGTTGTCTGTGTGTCTGTGTGTGTGTGTGTCTGTGTGTGTGTGTGTGTGTGTGTGTGTGTCTGTGTGTGTGTGTGTGTGTGTGTGTCTGTGTGTGTGTGTGTGTGTGTCTGTGTGTGTGTGTGTGTCTGTGTGTCTGTGTGTGTGTCTGTGTGTGTTGTGTGTGTGTGTGTGTGTGTCTGTGTGTTGTGTGTGTTTGTGGTGTGTGTTGTGTGGTTCTGTGTGTGTGTCTGTGTGTGTGTGTGTGTGTGTCTGTGTGTGTGTGTCTGTGTGTCTGTCTGTGTGTCTGTCTGTGTGTCTGTTGTTGTGTGTGCTGTGTGTGTGTGTCTGTGTGTGTGTGTCTGTGGTGCTGTGTGTGTGTGTGTGTGTGTGTGTGTGTGTGTGTGTGTGTGTGTTGTGTGTCTGTGTGTGTCTGTGAGTGTGTGTTGTGTGTGTGTGTGTGTGTGTGTGTGTGTTGTGTGTGTGTGTCTGTCTGTGTGTCTAGTGTCGTTCTGTGTGTCTGTGTGTCTGTGTGTGTGTGTCGTGTGTCTGTGTGTGTGTGTGTGTCTGTCTGTGTGTGTGTGTGTGTCTGTGTGTCTGTGTGTGTAGTCTGTGTGTGTGTGTGTGTGTGTGTGTGTGTCTGTGTGTGTGTGTGTGTGTGTGTTGTGTGTCTGTGTGTTGTGTGTGGTGTGCTAGTGTGTGTGTGTGGCTGTGTGTGTGTCTGTGTGTGTCAGTGTGTGTCTGTGTGTGTGTTGTGTGTGTCTGTGTGTGTGTGTGCTGTCCATGGTCCTGAATTTCAGGCTTCGAATCTCTAACAAAGAGTTTGACGTGTAGTTGTGTAGAAGTTGTAGTTGTGTAGAAGTTGTAGTTGTGTAGAAGTTGTAGTTGTGTAGAAGTTGTAGTTGTGTAGAAGTTGTTATCTCTGAGCTGATCACACGTGTTCGTCGCAGCTTCTTTCTCAGGATGCATTCATGCCACCAAACACATGCAGAGTGAACATGCACTGGTGCTCTTATGGTCTGCATCAATAATGCTGCAGCTTATGTCAGACATCATTAATGGAAATGAATGGCTGCGTATTCAGCAGTTGAAAACAGTTAGTGATGGTGTGAGTGGAGCCTTCACAGCTCAGCATGAACACTGCGGTCGCTCCAGCCTCGCCGTACTTTTACTCTGAAAACAGACAAAGCACTAACCTGCAGTTCCTCTGACATCTAGCAGGGGCAGCAGTGAGTCAGTCCCGATAGACTCCCATGTTAAAATAACCATAACAGCCTGATACACAACCTGCTTGGTCTCTGCAGATAATTTAAAGTCTGCATTATTAGGGGCGTGGCCTCTGTGACTGACAGGTGGATGAGGACACAGGCGGCTATAGCTGTTAGCTAGCTGCTAGCTGTCTACTGGGCTTCAACTAGAGTAGGTGGAGCCTTTTGGAGCATGTTTAATGACCTCATCTTCACAGAAGACACAGACGTGTGTGCAGACACAAACACGCAACATTTACCTTCAAAGTAAAGTCGTGCCTAACCGCTCCAACCAACACATGTCAAAAGCTTTTATTTTGAAGGTGAATGTTCTTCATTGCGTCACACTTCCAGCTTCCTCCAGTTAGTGAGCGTTTCCATGGCAACTACAGGCAGCCACAGCAATCTGGAAGCCACCGAAGCGATCACAAGGTCACACCTGCTGACAGTCTGCACCTACAACCAGCCTCCAGCCGCTCGGGGAACACGTGTCTCCCACAGCGACCTGAGTTTTGGAGCTTTGCAGTTTATTGGCTGCTGCGAGTTACTCAGGTTTCCTGTTTTTCGTTGGACTCACACGTTTTTCCTCCATCTGTTCCGTCTGCGTTTGTTTTGACTGCCAGTGGCTCCACACGCCGTTTCGGCAACGCCCTGATTATCAGCACACAACACCTTCTGTGTGGGCCAGCCCAGAATCACACACTGTTACTATTGGTAATACTGGGTATACTGGTATTACTGGTAATTTACTGTCCTGTAATCGTCTTCCAGCATCTTCGAGGTCATGGCGGCTCATTACTGACCAAACTAATTTAAGCTCTGTGAGCTGATTGGCTGTTTGTCTCTGTTTTCCTCCGCAGGAAGTGCCGGTACGTCTGTGACGTTCAACCGTAACGGCGACGCTCCCGGGCGGTATGACCTGTTCCAGTATCAGTGGAACAACGTGACCGGGCCGGGCTACCGCATGATTGGACAGTGGACGGAGACGCTGCAGCTCCATGTGAGTGTAAAAGATGCTGCTGATCTGAACAGACCAGCTGATGTAAGTCAATGTGAAGGACTCGTGTTGACCTTTGACCTTTGAAACACCTTTAAATGACAGGTGACCCCTCAGAGTTCGGCCAGGAGGTTTTTCACGGCTGATTCAGAGTCAGAGCGCAGCGTCGTTTACAGGAGGTGTACATACAGAGAGCTGCCCTCATTACTTACAGGTGATGTGCTGTAACCCATCCATTCTGTTTTTTTGCTAAGGACGGGATTTGTTGAGTTTGCATCTCACGGCGTGGACCATTCCCGCCTCGCGGGTGGCTTCCGTCTCAGCTGGGACTGCCAGCAGGATTAGCGGGCGCGTTTACACCACATCTGGCCCTGAACACGGGCTAATTGGAGGCTCGGTCAGGCAGAGGAGATTATCTGATGCTGTGAGAGGTTTACAAATTTATTAGGCTGAGTCAGCCAGCCGCAGCTCGACGAAGCAGAGGGTACTGCGAAACAAAGAGAGGGAGCAGCGGCGTGGACTCTCTGCTCCACCCACGATGTTTGAGACTTCCTGCTTCAGGGGGTCTGTGTGCTGCCTCAGCCTTTGAACGTCTCTGGTGTTTTTGGCGATGATGGGTTTTACCTGGAGTGTCTGCTCCTGTGAAAGTCTGGATCAGGACGGAGAGACGTTAAGAAGCACAGAGCAGACACTAAATACTGCTGAGATTAAATACTCAGGGTCAGAGCGCTCGGTCAGGTGTAGTTACTGAGACCTGGATGGATGGAGGTTTGGATCTGAAACATGTCACAGTTAGGCTGAGTAACCACGATCGCCTCAGTGAAGTCCGGTCTGGAGCCTCTCTCTCGTTATTCCACGCTACGGCGAGCCAAAACTACGGCGGGCGCTGGAGACGCTCTGATATGTGACTCGCTCGTTGCACTTCTCGTGATCTGGACAGCCAGCGAGTCGCTCTTCTTCTGCATTCAGGGCCACGTCTCTGCTTCTTCACAACACTAAATTATTCAGCTGCACAGCCCGATGTGGCAGAGCAGGAGCTGCTATTCCTCCGTCCTCGTGTTTGCAACGCTGTGAAGGCGACATATTACTGATACGCTCGGCTCATTTAGTTACTCAGCGTTTTGGCCGTGGATTTTTTTAGATTTGCTCCATCCATCATCTATTTTCCACTTATCCAGGTCAGCCTCAGCCTATGCCAGCGGCCATCGGGTGAGAGGCGGGGCACACCTGGACAGGTCGCCGTCTGATGCCGGTCAGATTTGTACCAGGGTTGGCTAAAAGCTGCAAGAGTCGCCTTCAAGAGGAGGAGACTTCCAGCCTAGACCCCGACTGTGATGGACAGATACAAAGGACAAAGAGGCCACGCCCCTAACAACACATGCATGTTTCCGCTCATGTTGGTCACGTTTCTGTTCTTTGAAGGTGAAACCGTCTCTAAGTGAACACAACCATTACAAACAAAATCAAGTTAAAAATGGAACAGGGCCAAAGATGAGTGAATAACCAGAAAGCTGAATGTGACCCGTGATGGGAGGAGCTGGTCGGGTGGATGTTCGAGTGGAGGAAACCTCAGCAGCCAGCAGGACAGCGGTAGAAGCTCCGACACACGTTTAAATGTCAGCGTGATCATCAGGAGCTCAGAGTCTGCTGCCCATCAGCGAGGAGGAGGAGGAGGCCTGCGAGGGATTCCTCTCCCACAGATCAGCCTCAGCAGCCAGCAGGACCTGTGCTCCCTGCTGAGACATGAAAGACCGAGCTCAGAGTCACCGCCGCCGGTCCTGCCGCCGCCGCCGGCTCCAGGTCACCTTCTTCACGTGGAGACGTTTCCTCGGAGACGCCTTTGCTGCTCGTAGAAATCTGACTTTTCTGATCCGCAGACTCTGAAGGGCGAAGACAGAGCAGCAAATATCAGCATGAAACATAAATACATGCTTTCACGTGAAGTTCATGTGTGTATGATAGAATAGAATACAATAGAATACAATAGAATACAATAGAAAATGCTTCAATGGGGAAATTGACGTGCTCAGCAGTGACAGGCTCATGGAGCGTGCAGTCACACGAGGACACGTGCACTTATTCAAATACTTTGTTTGCAGCTTTTGAAGCTGACAGCAGGTGTTTCCTCAGACTGAAGCTGCAGACGGTCTCTGTGTGCTGTTACCATGGTAACCTCCAACATTAAAAGCCCCTCCCTGTGCTGTGGAGGTCCCCTGGGTGACCCCTGACCCCCTGCAGTACCTGCGCTGTCTGGAGAATCCGAGGTCACGTTGCCGGTGTCTCCTCCCACTGCTCCATGACATCAGAGCGCTGAGCTGCAGCTGATCAGAGAGGCGTCTCCAACCTGGCTGTACTGTGAGGAGTGTCTGCAGCTGCTCCTGGACCTCGCTCCTCCTGGACCTTGCTCCTCCTGGACCTCGCTCCTCCTGGACCTCCTGGACCTCGCTCCTCCTGGACCTTGCTCCTCCTGGACCTCGCTCCTCCTGGACCTCCTGGACCTCGCTCCTCCTGGACCTCGCTCCTCCTGGACCTCCTGGACCTCGCTCCTCCTGGACCTTGCTCCTCCTGGACCTCGCTCCTCCTGGACTCTCCTCCTGGACCTCGCTCCTCCTGGACCTTGCTCCTCCTGGACCTCGCTCCTCCTGGACTCCTGACCTGCTCCTCCTGGACCTTGCTCCTCCTGGACCTCGCTCCTCCTGGACCTCCTGGACCTCGCTCCTCCTGGACCTTGCTGTCCTCACACTGAAGTGGTCACTAAGGAGGGTCTTGGTGAAACGCAGCACCACTTCCTGTTTAAACCCCCAGATGTGGCTGCAGGTGACCAAACTCCTTCAGTGTCTCACACACACAGCTGTGAGGAAGACCTCCTTCCCCTTCTCCTCCTCCTCCTCCTCCCCTTCGGTCGACATGTGTTGGTATCCTGAATGCACAAAGCATCGCTCAGCATGCAGAATCAATTTGGCCCTCTGAGGAGCCCGGGCTAATACACGAGCCGTTTACTGGCGGCTAGAAGAAATTACAAGTGATAAATTGAATTAATCTCAATTGAGGCTGGGAATGGGATGAAACGGGGTCTGTGGCCTGGAGAGGATTAACAGCAGATGTCAGGAGGGAGGAGGGGAGGCGGGAGGAGACGAACAAGGGGAGAAATATTGTCTGTGTCCTGTGGTGTCCTTCCTTTTAATGATTTTAAAAAGCTAATCTTTCCCTCTGTGGGACTCTGAAACAGTGTCAGGACCCGCATTAAACTGTCCACTGCAGCTGCAGCTGACAGAGCGCAGGTGAGCACACCTGTTAGCAGGAGGGAGGGGTCACCTGCATCCTGGTGACAGCCTCAGCAGGTTTACAGAGCTATGATTTTTATCAGGGCGCCTTTAAAAAGTCTCAAATATGAGGCCTCACAGCCAGGTTTTGTTGTCCTGCACAACCATGTCAACCAGCAGTCCAAGCAGACACTCCCACAACTCCCTGCTCCAGCCAATCACACCTTACCAGTCCAGACGTCTCCGCAGAGTCACCGGAGGCTTCCAGGTCAGAAGCTGAGCCTCAGTGCTGTTTGCTGGGCCCCGCCCACGTCTGGTTTTTGAAATGAAACCATGATGCTTGGCTCTGCCTTCATCAGAGCAGAGCGGCACGCCGCCACCTGCGAACGCCGCAGCCTCTAGCTGACAGGCTCTCTTTTAAACTGGACACTGTGGTTAAACTGGTGTTGATCGAGGCTGTGCGCTGGAATGATGCGCTCAGCGCCGAGGATGTTTACACTCTCTGAGTTTTCCTCTGCAGCTCCTTTGGACAGTCTTGTGAATATTTCGCAGCAATAAAAGCAGCACACGTGTGACACGATGTCTGTTTCTAAACCCCTTCAAAGATAAAGGACACAGCGGCTCTTCAGTTTGTGTCTCAAACGCAGCTAAAAGGAAGATAATTATTCAAATTCCCTGTTTGTTTTTTCCATCTGCAGCTTTTCTTTGAAGCAGGGTCAGACTTGTTTTTGTTCGGCACCGGCATCAAAGAACAAAGGACCTCAATCTCTCACCTGTGGAGGGAAAACGCCGCCCGCTCTCAGCTGATGTACACAGAGCTTTTATTCTGTGCTTTAGAATAATCTCGAGTCGCAGCGGGTCATCGCACACGGCAACGTTTCGCACCGCAGTGATGTTGGAGCGCCGAGCGCTGCTGTGAAGTGCACCTCGCACGGTGCCCGTGGGAGTCTGATAAAGGCTTAAGTGAGCTGAAGGTGCTTTCCTCGCGGCTTTAAATCAGGTTTAATCCTCGTGCTGTTCACACACGCCTGTTATCGCTTCGTTAAAGAAAACTTTTAAACTCGTGCTGCAGATTCGTCGACGTTTCTCCGAGCTGCTGCTGACGCAGTCGGCTCGTGTCGGAGAGATTTCATTTTCATTTCGGTATTTCTTTGTTAATCGGTACCAGATGGAATCAGAGACCATGTTTCACTGGAAATCCTGAATTCCTGTTTGTCAGCTGCCACTCCACCTTCATCATCATCACCGTCGATCACCTGGCAGCAGCTCCGTGATAGGCTGCTTTACGCAGACACACTGCTGACTCATCAGAGCGTTTCAGGCGCGCTGAAGCTGGTGACTCCGCCCTCTCTGTGTGTAAACACCCTACAGACACTCACAGACAAACATGTTCGCAGGTTCAGGAAGTGCTATAGAAACCAGCAGCCTGTGTCGGCCTGTAAACCTGTTGGCTGTGGGGACTGACTCGCTGCTGCCCCTGCTGGACATTTATGTGATTACCAATGAACATCTGCTCGCATTGTTTGCGGCGGCTGTGACTTCTCTGAGCAGTTTTACATGATACGTTGAATCATAATTAGCCCTCTGGATCATTTTTCAGTTTTCCGGGTGAATAATTAACGGAGGCGGGACTGATTTCAGTCAGCAAACTGAGCGCGCTCACAGAACGTGGCGTGTGGCTGCTGTGTGTTTGTCACATGGAGGATGAATGGCGCCGGCATGCCTGTGATCTTGTCTCTG